GGCCCCACTTCCTAATTAGGGAGGAAGACTCTGTTTCTACTCCCCAGGATCTCTCCTAGTTCCCACAGGCAAACATTTTACTTGTGAGCTTTTTATTTGGCATATTTAGTTTCAGCCAGGTCAATCAGTTTCTCACTTTCATGAGGGCTAAAATCTCACTGAGTTCACCCAGTCAGAGAACAACACAGAAAATGGCCACAAATCAATGTTTGCAATATATACAGGTGAAATCAATGGTCCATGTAACAGGACTATTATTCTATCACTGTATGGAAAAAGTAGTTCAGATCCCTTTAGTCTAAAAATGATGAACATAAATATGTTACAAAATGAATATTACATATACAATGGGCTTATCAAGGCATTGAAAAACACCTTGTAGGAAACAATGGCATATAATTTTTATAATTCTTGATCCTTCAACCCTCGCTTATCTGAGTGGTTCTTATTCACACATTAGTTCCATAGACTATAAAGAATATATTCACATGAAGAGCTATTTATTAGTGGGAGTAAAAACTGCAGGAATGGAGTGAATTTTAAAGAGTTCCATTTTAAAGTCTTGCAAAACATACAGCACAGCTAGTGTGTCCTTTCAAGGTACAGTATTGCAAAATATCCAGAACAGCTATTAGAACTGAATAGCAGTTAATTTTCTGAGTCCAGAAATATTCAGGGTTTTGTAAAATGTTACAATGTTATCAATTGTGATGCAAAAAAGCAAGTGTTTCTCTGTAGGTGGCACTTTTTATTCTTCCAACTCTTTAACCTATAGGTTGTGTTTATCAGAAATTCTATAACCTGTACATTTGATTTTAAATAGAAGATTTTTAATCATGCCATATAATCTTGCTTGAAAGCTTGCTTTTATGATTTTAAGTATTTATGACGTTTGTTAAAAGTATTCTCTAGTCTTTCTCTGGGTCACTGTAAGTGTATTTGTTTTTTACTTCCCTGGAGCTTTGGGTGTGAAAAGACTGCAGGCTTGAGTCCTAATTCTAACAGCTACTGGGAAAAAAATAGCAGAAATCAGATTTCTCTTTGTCATCAATCCAGTCATTTGCAAAATATAATACATTTACTTGCTAGAGCTGGTATGCAAATTAGGGATAACAACAAGAAAAGAGAGAAAAAATCTAATTGTCAGAATATATTGGTAAAATCTGTAACATATCATTGATATTCTTTCTAATAAATATTGAGAGCAAGGGGTTGAAGAGTCAGCTTGGGTCTATTGTAACCAATGGGTTCATTATGTCTCCTGTTATTTTTCAGAGCATTATGTTTCTGGATCCTTTACAAATCAAAGTCAAAATAATTATGTATGCACAAACAAAAAAATAACTCACCATCTGCCTCACAGTATTTGCCAGATGTTTTGTGCCATAACATATGGATTCCACTTTTTGCTTTTCAGTAATCAATGTTTCTTGTACATATTCCAGGTATGTCTGAAATGTAAAAAGTCCACTGGAGATTCCACTCAAGCATTTCTCCTACAATGAGAGAAGGGTAAGGAAATTACTTATTGCTGAAAAATTATTTGATGGCAATATTGTTTCTATGTATCAGTTAACTAACCAATATTTATACAATGCTCCTGGGAGCCTCAGATATGACCCTGTGTAGGGGGTTATGAATGTATTATAAATGTTATAGATTCCTTGCCTCATTGAATCCAGACAGTAGACATCCATCTTCCTCTGTGATCTTGGGGAGGTTCAGATCATTTTGGGCAAGCATCTCCATACTGTTGTCACACACAGTAAATTTCTCACACATCTGGGAAGAAACACAAAGAGGTTTTATTACACCTTTAATCACATGCGCATTTTTCAAGCAAAAGGCACTATACAACCGCTGAACTATGTCAGTAGAAAGACCTAATGCATTTCTGAAATATCCACAAAACATTTTTTTTAAAACCAGCTTTTAAAACTATTTGGCAGAATAGTCAAATATGTGGTTCTAATTAGAAATCACTTTATATTAATTATGATTTTCATATTCTCCCATCAGAAACAATTTGCTCTAGTCTGTCTGATACACAGCATGGACACACTAATGCAGGCTGGTATGCTTTCTAAGGAGCATGTCTCAAATATTTGCTCTTACAGAAGGTCAGGAGGCTGCATGTTGTGCAAACCCACTCTCACTTCACTTTTAACAAAGATATTCATGCCTTCTTCTCTGCCTGCTTTTCAGGGCTAAAAGGAATTCTCTTCCCTCTCATCTTAGGCCTTGTCCATCAGAAAGGTGCATAAATCACCCTGCAGCCTAGACAGAGAAGTGGCTTCAAGCAAAATGCTGATTCCACAGCCAAGCTCAAGACAAATGACAACATGAACCCAAATAAAACAGCTGGTGGGGGCACCATGAAACACCAGATAGTCCTGTTTGCTGTTAAAACCTCTGTGTTGCCAAGTGTAGCAAAGATCCGATCAACTCAGGACTCGGACTGCGATTCCAGTCCCAGAGGCCTCCATGTATTACCCACCTCGTCCTTCAGTTTAGCAGCTTTGCTGTGCAGTAGCCATGCCAAGGACTCGCAATCTGGCAGCAGGGGGCTTCTTGCAAGCGAATTCCTCAAAGGATCATTAACAAGTTCCTCTTCCCCAGAGGAATCCAGGATGGGAACAGCTCTGGCTCCCAGGAGCATTGTGAGGGCTGTTGCTACCCAAAGAGAGCCTGAGAGGAGGAAATAGACAAGGAAGGAGTGGAATGAAATCCTGCCAGCTAAGTCACAGACACACTCCCTCAAAAGGACAGTGGGAGAGACTAGCTCATTCTGCAGATGAGAGGCTGTTACTTACATCCCCGAAGATAATTCATTTCTTTCTCCTGAATTCCCCTTTGCTCTCTCTAAAGAGTTGCTGGCCAGAGGTCTGGAGAGCAGACTGAGCTGAAGGAATCCCTGATCTTGTGTATATTTATATTCATTGGCCACTGGGAAAATCCAGTATTAGAAAGAAAAAAAAATTCTTTTGCTGTAATGAAAAGTAACTATTTCTAATGAGAGAGGTACACGATGCTATTGCGAAATACTTCAGGAAACTGAGCTCACTATAAAAGCCTGAATTAAGAAAAGTATTAATAGGTCAGAAAACCCCCTACAGTGTGTTCTGGCCTACAGTAAATGACTCAGATCAGAAGGCTTCCTCCACTGGCCCTGGATAATCATTTCACACTTGGCATTTAAGGGAAAAGATGTTCCAAGATACAAATGCATTCTTGCGAGAAAACAAATATTTAGTAATTGCTCTTCTGTACATGATGATATAATAATCACTACAGGATACCTTTTAAGGGAAAGGAAACAATTTAATTCTTTAACTAATTGATTGGTAGACTATTCAGATAAATTGACAACTAACAAAATATACAAATAAAAAAAAGACTCTAATTCTCAAAAGGATAAATTGGACAGTAAATGGCAGAAAGCAGTGAATGTCAATTACTGTTGCTATTAATTATGTTCATAGATTCCAGCTGTGGTTGGCATTTTAAAGTACATTTAGGCCTGATATAAAAAATAAAAGTGTGACAGTTTAACTAAATGGCTTGAAAAGTTTATGTAAGTTGATTCTGCCTACTATGTAGGCAATCTCAGTTGGTTTTAAGAGTGTCTTATAATAAACTGATTTTTGCTAAATGAGTTTCTAAACTGATTTGTTGAAATTGATCCAGTTTTCTCATATGGACACAATCATAGAAACATGTTTCCTGCACTAAAGACACATTCTAATTTTATGTAACGGGGGGAGGCATAGCTCAAGTGGCTTGAGCATTGGCCTGCTAAACCCAGGGTTGAGAGTTCAATCTTTGAGGGGGCCATTTAGGGATCAGGGACAAAATCTGTTAGGGATGGTACTTGCTCCTGTTGTGAAGGCAAGGGACTGGACTCAATGACCTTGTAAGGTCCCTTCTAGTTTTAGGAGATAGGCATCTCTATTCATTTCATACATGAAGGAGAACAGGGAGAGAGGAGTATGTGATAAAGAAAAAGCAAGGTGACTGCAATAAGATTTCATGGTTAATGAGTTTGGACATCTGCACAATTTATATAGATTATCAATTTATAATTAATAAAATATTAATTTGCTTTCTATGGGTATCATTGGAGAAGTAAGTGTTAAGGGCGGACAATGCTTTCATTCTCTTCCAAACACATTCCACTGTTCTAACAAAAAGTGCTACAGTGTTTAATGTGTCATTCTGGCAATTTATTGGAAAGTGCAGGGCTGGTGACAGACTTCACTGGGCCTTAGGGAATGGGAGAGAGGAGCTTGGCTCTGGGCTCCTACAAGGGGCAGGCCCTTGGGCAGAAAGGGCAGGTCTAGGGTCTAGCCTCCCCCAGCCAGCCCTCACCACTGCCTTGCCCATGCTGTGCAGGGCTCTGGTGGCAATTTAAAGGGCTCAGCCTCCATCCGCCTCCACCGCTGCTGTAGCAGCCTGGAGCCCCAGGCCTTTTTAAATCTCTGGGCCTTTTAAATCAACTGCCCTCTTTGTTCCCACCCACACCTGTATTGAGGCCAAAAGAATTGTAGTAATTGTGCCTAATTTACTGCAGTGCTGAAATGTGGTTTGTGACCTCCAGGTGACACAGAGCAGAGACTACCAAACTCCATTTTTACTTGACCAAAAATCTGATTGGAGCTGTTTGAACTCTGTAGATGAATAGCCAGAGCAATAATCTTTTGTGGCACAAAGCCCTCTGCCATCCTCCTTTATGCATAGCAGAACATTAATTTCATATGATCTATGCATACATTTAAATGTAACACTGAAATTGGATAATCTAATCTAAAGTATCAGAATGTTAGAACTGCTACACCAGATCAGACCCATGGCCATCTAGTCAGGTATTCTTCTTCTGAGATTGGTTAATTTAGAAGATGGCATAAAACGCAAACAGCAACTGGCATGGACAATTAGACCCAACAGGAAAGTTCCTTATTAATCCCAGACAGTAAGCCTGGAAGTTGAGATCCCTCTTTGTTTTTTGTTTTACAAATATTATTAATATCGAATATTTATAGAATTCTTTTAGGCATTTTTCTTCATTACTAGCTTGTAGCAAGGAGTTGAGCAGTATTGTTGTAATAACTGTGTTGGTCCCAGGATATTGAGACAAGATGGGTGGACCAGGTACTGTTGGTGAGAGACACAAGCTTCAGGTCTGGGAAACTTTGAGATTGGCTTTGCATAGAGAGCTACAGCTGTGTAGCTGCACTGGTGCAACTGTGCCATTGCAGTGCTTAAGTGAAGACACTTCTGTGCCAATAGGAGAATTTCTCATGTCTGTATAGTTAATTTACATTCTAAATAGCTAGGTTGATGAGAGAAGCTCTCTTGTCCATGTAGTGCTGTTTACATGGAGGATTAAGTTGGTGTAACTCTGTCGCTCAGGGGTGAGGATTTTTCACAGTCCTGAGCAATATAGTAATACCGCTGTAGGTCTGTTGTATAGATGGGGCCTCAGAGTGTCACAGCTAAATACAGGGTAGAAAATATTGTTGAGCATAAATACTTACCACATTTTAAAGGAGGAGTGTTAACAGGCCATCAGTTAACTGTACAGTAGGATATAGCACATACAATACCTATATGTTTGTGTTAAAAATGCTGTTAAGGTGGGATTTTCAGCAGGGTTGTGTCTAGACTACAAAGTTCTATCGGAAAAAGATACACAAATTGCCAATTGCAATTTGCATATCTTTGTCTGCTTTTCTTCTGAAAGAGGCTTTTCCGACAATTGACCCGTCTACACTGGGCCAAATGTTGGGGGGAAAAAGCCTTTTTCAGAACATCCCTTCTTCCTTGTAGATGCCAAAAAAAGGTGTCTGCTTTTCTGAATTTTTTTTTGAAAAAGCAGACACATTCCTTGGACATGGCATAGCTTTTCTGGGATATCTTCAGTATCCCGGAAAAACTCTGCAGTCTAGATACATCCTAGTACTCATTGTTGATCTTTCTGTACTCTGGGATGACCAATAGGAGTTCTACCGTTAATTTAAATGGCTTCAGAGAGAAGCCAATACCAAGACCTTTTTAAAACCCTACCCTAATCCCTGCAGCCCTTTTAAATTATTGATGATCACAGAAATAATTGTGAATGTAAAAGCTTTTTTTTCATAATGATAAGGGGAAGTGTGGGTTGTTAATTTGCTACCCTCAGAGGAAATGGTAATACCACCAAAACAATCATTCTAAACAATGCTGAGGTATTGGAGTCAGAACAAGTCAGATGCATGCTCAAAAGAAGCTCAAACAAGGGTGGAAAAGCAAAACAATGCTAATGGCAGCAAAGGAAGGATGTCTGTTAATGTAAAATAAATTGATAAATAACTAGTATGTTTGTATAGAAAAGAAATATTTGAATAGAAATGTTACTAATTACTGTTAAAGCTACTCTATATTCTACTCCGTTTTGTTTTACATTCTTATTATTTTTAAATTCTCCAATATTCTATTGTAATCATCCAAGCCACTACAGTTTGTGATGTGGTTATTTGATACTAACACTATAGAATAATGCAGTACTTTTAATTAAAATAGGAATGATTCTAAGCATGTGGTTTTGTGCTTCTATAGAGAAATCTAGTGTATGGAAGAGAACCTCCAGTATTTGATGGCTGACTATCTCTTGTGAGGGAATTGAAGCCCATTTCATTGATGTAGTTTTGGTTCATAATCTCTGTAAATATTGAGTGAAGGAGTCCTAGAACCCTCAATAAGACAAAACTTGCTTCTTTTGAGCAGTTTTTGTACATATAGTCTCTGAAGTTTCAGGTCCTGTTTATGCCCAGGGCTGACTCTATTCTTTACTCTTCTGAGGATCCATGGAAGCTAAATGGATAACCTCAGCCAGCAGTTTGATGCCATTGAATGAAGCAGCATTAAAGTAATGTACCTTGTTGTGACACAGCTGTGATACAGGTCCTTTACTATCCTGTATTAGCACAGTTCACAGCGAGAGGGATTTCTTCACTTGAAAATGTACACAAGGCACTAAAGGATTTCTTTTCATTAAGATAACTCAATTTTTGAGCCCTGCATGGATACAAAATTTGTATCTGCATCTGTAAAACTGATATGCAGCTATCCGCATTGATATCCACGGACACAGATACCAATGGATATAAAGTGGATATCCGCATTTACAGGGTTCTAGATACAAAATTTATATCTGCATCTGCATACGTATCTGCAAAAATGAACCACGGATATCCACATCTGCAGATGCAGATATAAAGTGGGTATCTGTGGCTTTGCAGGGCTCTAGTCATTTTGCTGCATTGCAATTTGCTTGTTGGTTATTTGCCAGCTCTCAGGGGAACTCTAGGGACATTTGAGCACTTTTGCATGAAAAGTTCTTGAGCATGTTCATTTTTCTCCCCTTGTGTCACATTCTCATCATTTTAAAACCACAGGCCTTGTGAAAGGCAGTCAGAAATTCCCTCTCTGAGCACCTCTACGAGCTCTATATGCAAAAATAATTTCCTTGCTTGTCTATGTCTCAGTTGTGGTATTGTGAGAGAAGCCTTTAGTTTGAGTGAGTCGTCCTTGGTCATCTTAAAGGTAGTGCCTTGGTTTTCCAGTTTTGCCTGCTTACTCAATAGGAAAATGTATGGCACTTGCTCTTCTGGACAAGTGCCATGTTTCTCATGAGCCAATCTTGTTTTGTAGGCTGCTGTAATTGGAAAAAAAGGCCATAGAGACAGCTCCTGTCAAAGAATGTTGTAATACTGGGTAGTTTAAATACTCAGAGTTTTGTAATGCATGTACCTTCTCAATCAAAGTTATCACAAAATCAAAGGAGGCGAGTGTATAAGGGATGACAGTTACCCTTTTGAAGACCCTTGAGCTACAGATTGCTTTCTGAATAATTATTTATTAATTTGTATTTGTTTATTTGTTTTGTTTTGGAAGTACAGTTGTATCTACACTAGGGCTTTGCCCAGCACAGGTCAAACACTGTCTGATGTAGCTATGTCATCAACAATTTTTAAAGGTGATTTGGCCTGATAGCCACACATCATGCATCTATGAAAAATACTAGAGAGATCTAAGACTTCAATAGGAAGGTTCTTAGCTGATGCAAATAAGCATATTTCCATTCATTAGGTAACTGATTCAAATTCAGTCCATGTCAGTGCTGACAGAAACCGATAACACCTGCCATCTAGGAAGTGATCTACAGTATGTGAAATGAATTAATCCTTCTTATTCATAGTGATCGGTACTCATATAGTTCAAAGTATAATAATAATAATTGGCACCCTTGTCAATCTCAGAGGCTAACACTGGGATGGGTTATGGAGATAATTTGATCTCCTCACTTATTCAGGTGGTTATTCCAGGTCCAGGATAAGGTTTGTACACAGAGGCTGAGCAGCATAGCAATCTCCAGGGCTGTCAATCTGTCCTCTTTCATGATTATGAAATATACACATTTCTTAAATGTCAGCCTCTAAGATGCAGTGTTTTCTATTTTCTACCTAAGTATATGCTTTATATCCTGGTATTCAGTGTTGACTTTCTTCTCATTTT